TGCACCTATTGCTCGCTTGGACAAGGCCACTAAATGTGATCTTTACTCAGAAGACATGTGCTCTCGTAGCTTTTTAGCCATTCTCTGTTTTGGCCACTTTCAGGATAGGGTTTTATGTGGAACAGGGAGCTGGTGGCCTCTCATTCTTCAATACTACAGCAAGTTTTGTACCAAGAATCATGTTTGTTTCAAGCTTTCAGTAATGGAAGAGGAATGAGGTGGGTTTTTTTGTTTTTTAAACTAATAAAAGGGGTAGCTTTTCTTCCCTCTAACATCACTTCTACTTAATGCACTTATTCAGAGCTACATATTAATAATTTAAAAGAAAGGCTCAACTGCACTTTATGGTGGATCAGTGTACCTACAGCGTCGATTAGGTTGAACAAGTTGTGATTACTGCAGCATTTAAGACCAGCAGTTGGAGCAACATTCTGATTAAATGAGTGGATTGAAAATTGGATATGGCATCAAACAGCTGTGGAAGCCAGCCTCTGCCTTACCGAAATACAGCTTATGCAGCCTTACTTAGCAGTTGTGTTGCTCAGGAAGAAAGGAAAAAAATAGGAGGAGTGTACTCAACTCCTAATAACAGAGGGGAGATTCTCTACCAGCTGTTTATATCTTGTTCTGGCATTATCCCACAGCTCTGATCAGCTGTGGCTGTTGCTGTTCTGGGCCTGGCTGTCTTGGAGAGAATTTACTGACTAGTTTTAGGAGACAGAAACAAAACATCTAGCATGGAAAACTCCTACTTAGAATTTGACTTGAAACTGGGCCACTTTTAATAAATAGGGCCAAAGGGAGCATGCTCAGGCCTTATAGCAACTGCAGCTAAGGAGGCAGGGCCCAGCTTCTGCAGCCTTCAGGCTAAAGCAGCCCCCTGTGCCTGTCTTGGGCAGACTCTCAGCCTGTTCTGTTTGCTTATCACAAAGATGCAGAAGTTAAATACACAGCTGCTGGGGAGGCTGCCTGCACCAGGAAGCTACTGCCTTTGTTCCTGCAGGGCATGATTTAAGCAGGCTGGGGAATAGGGTGACTAGAGCAGGCTGGGAGTAAAGGAGGCATTCAGAACTAGGGGCTAGCAGGGTGCGGTTTCCCCCCCTCCCCTTTTCTGTCAGACTCTAAGTCTGGAAGTATTTAGGAGGAGGGAGAGTCTTTCAGTATTTGGAAAAAAAACCCACCTTGTCCCCTGGCATCAAATCATGATTGAATGTATTTAAGGGCACAATGTTTGTCTTAAGGCCCATCTTCTACCTGAAACACACAGTGCTTTTATGAATGTCACAAGGTGGACCCTGCTGAAAGGGCTTGGTGCCTCCTCCTTGCTGAGCTGCTATGGTGCAATACAGTATTTCCTCTCCCCTGCAGCCATGACAGAGGGTGGGCAAGGAGGCAGCATGGTCATCTAAACTGGATGATGTACTGCCAGTTCGTAAACCACATACCTACCTCTCTGCAATAGGAGGGTGCTTTGCAGGGAGAATACTTGTGTTTGCGCCCCTGAGGCTGGCCTAGTCCCAGCCTGCATGGGCCTCTTCACTCTGTGTGTGCCTGTAGTTACCTGACCAAGAGTAACTGCTCAGGCTGCCTTGATGCACTTTGACACAGTTGTTGTATAGTACAAGCTACATCCCAGTCCTCTGTAAATATTGTGCCAGCACCCTGGGAAGCACGTGCCTGCAGTGTGATGCTTCAAAAAAAATCTCTAGGCCATGGCTTGGAGAGCAGGACTGACACCTCGGGGGCTGTTCAGCAGTTCCTGAAGGATAGTACTGCTAAGGGCAGTAATTAAGGTATGACTGGATCATCAGCACAGGTATACACACCTGCTGAGCAGCTGGGCTTGCCTATAGCTAGGCCTCTTAGCCACCTTTCAGCTAACAACTGAGGATGAAAAAGCTTTGTAAGCAAAAGTGAAAGGTACCATAAAACAAAATATTTACTGACGGGGCAATTAAAAAACAAATTAAAAAGTAATAGCTGAGTCTAAACACAATGATTGCAGACTACCACAGCCCGCACTTTAAGTTTCAGCTCACCCTCAAAGGACTAGAGACCCTTACCCGCTTGCACTACCTTACTACCACAGTTACACAGGGCTGAAAAAATTAATGACGAAGCACCTCCTACGCACATCCGCCGATCTTAGGACGCCCAACTAGGGCCACAGCCCTCGCTGTGTGCCTGTGCCCTAGAACCGCATCCTGATGTAAGGGCCAACTCTTGCAAGCAGCGAGCTCTTAAATGTAGCATTATGCTGCTGTACCTTTTCTATGTCTCTTCAGCACCAGTTCACCCTGAAGTGGGCTGGGTGCCCATGTGAGGGGGGTGGGATAGGGCTAAAGCTATAGGCACTGCCTAGCACCTTGGCCCTAGTCACATCAGGTGTCCCAGCACTGCCTGTGTTTTACTTGCATCCTGGGGAGATGGTGGGGCAGGTCATCAGGCTGGTGAGCTGATGCTATGGCTCACTGAGGCGTTCTTCCCTCCACCTGCTAGTTTGAGCATTAGTTGTTTGTAGGAGGGAGCTGTCTTGGTTTCCTCCATTCGTGCACACATGCTCACAGCAGTCAGCTACCTCACTGGGAACAGAACTCCAGTCCCACCAATAAAGAGTTTACCCAACTTCAAGCATGACCATTTTTTCCTTCTTTAAAAAAAAAAAAAAACACCCATATGTTATTTACATGACTTACAAGAGAGGTGGCAGATTGGTGATTTCGAATTATGTTTTCCTGGGTTTCTCATCAGGTAGTTGCAACTTCTGCCATCTTTTTTTTCCTTATCTTCTGCTTTCTCACAGGCTAATACCATAATGAACATGCGCATGCGCGCGCGCACACACACGCACGCACGCACAAACCACTGTCACACCACATTAAATACAACCAAAGCAGCACTAGCTAGACCTCCCCGCCAGCAAGAAGCAGCCAAGTGTTTGTCAATACACCACCATCCACTCTGCCTTGGACTGAACGGACATCTTCAACACGTAGGATACTCTCTGACAAAAAGCTCTAATCACTCTATGACTCTGGCCATAAGGGGTATTTAATAGCACTTGGTTTCAGATAACACTTAACGGTTACAATTGTTGACATTTGGCACTGTCTACATTACAACAGCATCAGGGGACTTGGTCACACGGTTCGAAGTCAGTGTCCCCGTAACCGTGTTAAAACCAGGGGCAGTCCAGCTACCCTACGAATTGCAGCCATGGTGTCGTGAAGGGTACCTCTGTGCTGCCCAGTGCAGTGATAGCAGCAGTGCGGCTCCCCTGCTCGCACAGCGTCAATCAGCTTTCCCGGAGCAGTGTGCTAACAGCCCTGCTGCTTCCAGCAGGCAAGCCAGCGCACGTGCCACTGCACTGCACGTGCACACTATGGACAAAACCCTCCGTGGCCTTGTAGCTGTCCTCAGGCCCTTACAGTCAGAATTACATTTTCTGGGCTATAGTAGATGCATCATCAAGTGAAATACTAATCCCCTCATGATCACATTAACTCATTAGATTTACTTTTAATATAATCACAGTATTAAATGTTTTTAAAAAAACCAAAACAACCCATTCTTGTTGATATCAATACATTATTAAATTAAGCAACTGCTCACACATCATCAGCTGCTGATGTCCCTACTGTGGAAAATGCAGGGTTAAAAATAAAAAAGAACAAAAGCATTATTAGACTGAGTTATGCTTGCTGCTATGCTGCAGGTTTTGCTACCAATCATACCTGAGCGCACAGTTTTAAAAGAGCCTTCAGCAAGTGAGTATGCTTGGGCATAGAAACTGGTACAAGAAAAACTTGCTCTCACAGGATTTTGTTCACTTACTTGCAACCAAAACAAACAAACAAAAAAAAAAAAACCCACACACCCTGCCAACTGAAAGAAACTTTAGAATTTAGTGTTTTTAATCCCACACATTTCTCTGTAAGCTTCCTAAAAAAAAAAATTTACAGGCATTGGTTTAAAAAAAAAAAAAAAGAGTCCCCAAACTGAACAGTGTGGATTTTTTTAACTCAAATTTGAAATAGTTACCACATCCTTAAGTTACTGAGAATGCAGAGTGCAAATGTCCTGGCTTCTCTCCTAAACAACCGTCTCACAAAATACTACAGAGAGCAACGGTGAAGGAACCATCCCATTTTTAAATTTCAATATTTTTGATCTCCAGTAAACGCATCAGGGTTTCCTACAGTCACAGGCAAGTTACTTGTGTTAACATACCATGTTTTCAGACAGCCAGACATTTTAATCTCTTTTTATAAGCCTGCAAACAAAGTTTTAACTTCAGCAAAAGATTTTTGCAGTTTATCCTTCAATAAAGGACTTCAGATAGATAGTGCAACATGATCAACTATTCAAAGGGCACCTACAGTCCACTGAAAAGTCTGTACCCTTTATTTACTTGTCTACATCTAATACAGGCCCAAGAGGGTTCCCCCTACAATTTTTTTCTCCTGCTTGATATTTTTTTTTCCTTTAAAAATACTAAGAATTTCAAGTCTTTTTTTTTTTAAACCTAGAAACAACCTAACTGAGACATGCACAGGGTGCTCTCAAACCTCACAGAACTGAAAACAGTTGACTACTCAGTAGGGAACTTTTCTTCCAAGTATTAGCTACACTCGTCTTTGCCAACGGTGTACAAAACCCACTCCTGTTCCTGATCAGGATTTGCTTCCCTGGTAGCTGGCTTCCTGAAAAGCTTGTATCCTCAAATGGAGAATTAATAGGAATGCATCAGAACTCAAATTTGTGAAATAAAAAAGCAAACAGGACAAAAAATACGGGACCAACCTTTCAGTCTCTCACACATCACAAAGAAGAACCTCCCCCCCGCCCTCCCACCTTGCAGGACACATATAAAGAGACTGAGGAGGTGTGGGAGGCTGGGGTCTGAGAAACTGAAAAGAGTTGGCACCATCACCTTTCAGCTCTTGATAGCACAGGGAACCAGCCCTTTTTGGGCCATAAGAACTAGGATACCGCACAAGTTTAGAAATCCATCAGTGAACAAGGCTTTACTGACAACTTTTCATACAGTTAAAAAATAAAAATACAGAACACAGCGGACAGTGTCACATATTAAAAACGAATAAAATGGGCTCTATTTAAATGGTATTAAAATTAATTAGAAACTAAAAATCTTACCATTTTGGTGGAGGTGTTTTGCACCTCCACCAAAATGATCGGCCTTAAAACCAACTGGGCTGTGTGACACACAAAGAAAACATGGAATTTGAAAAGACAGTGTGGGCTAGGCAGTGTCTTTGACTATAACTATCACCATATGTTCTTCTTCTAACTTCCCCAATGTCCTTAGTGCTGACTGGAGGTACTGCTGAGAGAATTCACAAGGAGGGAATGCATAAAGCATGCCTGTGCTGTCTCTGCCCTTCGCCCCTCCCACGGGCAGGCTGATAACCCCAGCAGCCTGCTTCTGTTTCAAGTAGGAGACCAGATTCCTGAGAAGCCGTCGCTGCAAGCCAGGCTCTACAACAGGGAAGGTCCCCTCAGCCCCTGCCCCTCCTGGGGTGGATTGGGTAGCCAGTAGCACAGCATAGCCATTGGGGCTGCCTTGTTTGATACGGCGAGTTACTTCATCCAGCTTGGGCTGGTCGAGCCGAAGTCTCTGAGCAATTTTGAGCTGCGTTAACTTCCCGCCAGATGAATGGTCTTTAAGGAGTCCATTGATGACGCCCAGGTCTCCCTCCAGGATGTGCATAGACGTAGGGAAGCAGCTATTTTTTAGCACAAGAAGCCCATTCCAAGCAAGCTGAAGCGTCTGGGCATATTCTGATAAATTCTTTAACTTTTTGGTCTCAGATTTTGGCTCCTCATGAGTTTTTGATTCCGATTCGCCAGTTCGATGATTGCGTTCGCTGTCCCTTTTTTTAGGCTGGGGAGCATCGGATGCTTCACGATGAGGTTTCTCCTCAGTTGCATGACGATTGTTCTGAAGGGAGTTACTCTGCTCTTTCTCGGCTCCGGATTCTGTAGTGTGATTCTCTTTGCGAACCCTGTCTGGGCTGCGGTCTAAAGCTGGCCCACTGGCCTTTGTCCTGCTTCTGTCCTCATAAGGCGAGTGAGTAGTCCTCCCACGATCGCTGGAAAGACTCCGGCGTTTCCGCCTTTCTTCCCACGGTTTGGGCACGTTACGATCGCTGTCGCTGCCCCAGCGTTCTCCACTCCGGCTACGCACTGATCGGCTGTAGCTTTCCAAGTTGTTTCTGCGTTCAGCATTTTTGGCAGGGCTGGTCCAGTCTGCCTCTGCAAAGCTCCTGTCTCTGTCCGAGTACAGGAGGTGCGGAGGAGTCCTATCTCGCACCCTCAAGTCTTGCTCTAGGCTTCGGTGTCTGCTATACCCATCAGCCAGCAGTTCGTAGTGCACGGGGAGAGGTGCCGGCTGGTACTGCTGCGGGTATCTCGTCTCTTCGGCTTTGGCAAAATCCACTCGAAGTCTCCTCTCTGGTCCACCCAAAGGAAAGCCCCTCATCTGCGCACAGGCAGCCTGGGCAGCATCCAAGCTTTCGTACTGGATATAAGCAAAGCTGTCTCCCTTCACATAGTCAATAGTCCTGATGCTGCCAAAGCGGTCAAACTCCCTAGCAAGGGCAGCCAAGGAAGTACTTGGACCAAGACCACCCACCCACAGCCTGGTAGTAGGGTTGGCTTTGCCGTAGCCAATTTTGATAGGGTTCCTGCCAACAACACGGCCTGACATAGCAACCTTGGCCCGATGTGCCATGTCCAAGTTTTGGAACTTGAGGAAAGCGTAAGCCCCACCTTGGCCCCGGGCAGGGCGCTTGATCACCACCTCTTCGATGATGCCATACTTCTCAAAGGCGCGTCTCAGCTCTACCTCCGAGACGTTGTGGTCCAAGTTGCCAATGAAGAGGTTCCGAGTAGCTCTCTGGTCATCCTCTGGCATCAGGTCTTCCTCAGCCACGATGGGGTAAGTGTAGGGTCGGCCACGCTCATCATACAGCCCGTAGTAATCCAGAGCCCTCTCCCGCTCCCGGGAGAGTCCGATGGCAGCAGCTTCCAAAGCAAAGGCAGCAGCTGCAGCGTGAGCGTGTCTCGGCCGTGGCTCCCGCAGCAAGGGGCTGGTGACAGGCGAGAGCGACCTCTGTTTGTACTGGTAGGTGCTGTGGATGGGCGGCAGGTAGCCCAAGGGCTCCGGGGAGGGTGCAGGGGGCGGCGTGCGGCTCCTCCGGCCCCCGCGCAGATACACC